AGTGTGTCTGACCAAGGTAGTCTTGCGCCAAGAACAGCGTGGCCCTTGCGCCTCTGCCGCGAATCACTGCGATGAAACTGACTGCCCCAACGAGGGTAGAAATTGAGGGGTAGCCGTAGGCCTCCGGACGCAGGGGGAGGCCAAATGTGCTGTGGTAGATGGTCTCAAGCAGAGCCAGCATCATTCGACCGCGTGTTCGCAGGAGCAGGGTGCGCAGCTGACGCGCAAAGACTATGATAGGTGTCAAGGCGATGATCTGTGTGGAGGTAGCAATAGAGTAGTTTTCGGCGGTGCCGGTAAGAGTCACGGGAATCGCGTTGTTGCCACCGTCGACCTCGTCGCCACTCGTCTCACCGGTAGACTGTGACACCGTCCCCTGTGAGGCCTCCCCAACCCTCTGATCTGGCACAATGCCGTTGGCAGACTGCACCGAATCATAGTCTGTAACCTGCAAACGGGGTATAAGGAAAGAACAGTAAGGGGTGTCCAAATATTCTTTGTACTCTAATAAAACGCCCACAGTTTCTAAAGTACTATGTATATTTCGCAATTTATTTTACGGCAAATTGTTCTATGACCTTTAGGACAGCTTCTACCTCACTTAGCATCGAATGAATCATATGCTGGCGGGCCTCCAAGGGGATCTTTCTCCAGACGTCCGGCCGGGAGCTCTTTAGTCAAGCAATAGTAGTAGTAGTGGTAGACAGTTTCTCGCCAACCATATAACCAAGCATTGACCAAGGAATTTCAATAGGACTCAAGTCAGGACTATTGGCTGACAACATGTCTTTCCTCTACAGATGTGGAATTTTCTGTAACAGCAACATCTGGGTCTGCAGAGATGTATGAGCTGTTGCTCCGCCCTGCATAAAAATAAAACTTGACATTTCCTGAACAAGTTTATTCTTTATAATTTAACCTGCTCATACGATTTTTTCCAATGTTTGAAATGGGTTTTTCTTAGGGATCTCCCTTCTATAATATTCAGTATTCACTCATTGGCTCTGTCGTACAATGTGTAGGTCAGACAGCTCTCCAAAGGAAATTGCTTCCCATACTATGAATGTAGGGCTAAACTTTGGAACTTTTACATTCCCAACCATTTTACGACCTTAAGACCAAATAACTTTATTTTTTCTGTTTGGTTGATGGAATAGTTCATACGCCGATTCATCGGAGAAAGCAGTTTGGTTCCAGTCTTCTACAGTCCGCCTCTTGATCATTTCAAAGGTCATCCTATCTTTAGTTTGTGTTTCTGCTAGTCCAGGAATTTTTCCTCGTTGGTAAACGAACTACCCCAAGTTTTCTATTTTACCTGTACTGCTGTACTGTGCAGTAGAGATTATGTACTATAGTTGTTTACAAATAAATCATCAACCACTGAGGCTGAGAATTACATCAAAATCCTTG